TGTTCATAATCTGAGCAACACGTGGATTGGGTTGCCACGTGAGGTTCTGTGGCTGAAGCACTGCCAGTCTGTTCACTGGTGGGGCAGGTCGGGGTGCGGGGTGCTGCCAACTCTCAGGGGTAGGTGGGACCAAAGCAGGCAAGGAGGAGCTCCAGAAAGGGTTGCGGCGGGGGGAGCGTTCACGATCCATGGCGGGATATGAGAACAACACCTGACTGCAGAGCTCAAGCCGGAATGATCTCCAGATGCAACTCCGGAATGCGACTCCGATCTGATTTCCAGAAATGTGATTTCCACTCAGTGATCTCCACTTGAACATGTTGTGAAACGGAACTGATTTCCGGAGCTGCTAACACAAGAACCCCGGTGGGCCGGCAACTTCGCCGTATAGCGACAAGGCCCTCGTGAGGGAGCTCTTGCCGAACACAACTGGAAAGGCTTCCACTGACCCGCCTGCCTTCTGTAGATGACTTCTGTGCTGAATGTACTTGTCAGATTGCGGCAAAAGTGCAGAAAGCGAGTGCATATGCCCTCATGAACATGACTGTTAAATGAAAACAATCGGTGGACACACCTAAAACCTGCCTCAGAAAACAGAAATCCATTTCGCTAATCTTGCTGGCTCAGGGGCCCAGCTTTTTTGCAGGTACATCCGACTGGCCAAGTCGGATATCCCATCTGCAACCGTAGCTTCGTTGCACACGGTAGGTCGCAGATGCCGTGTGCCCCTGCAAACTTAAAAACGAAAGGAGCAAGAAAACAAGAAAAATCCATGGGTCAAAGCATGAGCCTACAAAGGTTTGCAAACAGAAAAACCTAAGAAAAATGGACATGTGAGTGCAGGTTTGTCGCATGTACAGCAGAATAACACAAACAGTAAACCATCAACCCCCTCAACCCTGGACTCAGGGAAGATCAACCCGGTAGTAGGTTCAGCATCTTCCTTTGGTTTCGGGTCTACGGAGTCGGAAAACCTTAATCTTTTGGTCTGAGTGTTTTGCAAGCAGATCTTCGAATCGGCCGCGGAGCTTTCGGTGGTCTTGGTTTAGGCGAGCCTTGTGATGTTAGGACCAGCCCAACCGTAGTCCTGAGCTGCGCGACTTCTGCAGACGTCCCCGATGAAGCTGCAGCGTGTTGTTGTGGACGCGGGGAGCCAAGAGAAGATTTCAAAAGGTGCAAGAGGGGCAGCCGCTTGTGCTGAGTTTCCTTCTTTCCATGTCACGATGTAGTTCTGCCTCAGAAATGTTTGGGAATTGCGAAGATAGCTTGAACTACATTACATGCTCATGAGCAACTCCCGTCAAACCAAAGCAGACCAAAACAATAATTAGTACCTGAAGTCGCCCTTGAATGCTCAGATCGGGAACGATGAGCAGATGGAGAAGGAGTTGAAGTTCTGGTGCGGAGCTGCCGGCATGAAGGCCCACTGTGGCTGTAGTCGTGCTGATAGGCTGGGAGTGATGCAGGTTTCGGTACGTTTTGTTCTCGGGCCATGGGTTCAGAGAATCTAGGGAGTGTTTGGCAAGTGTACGAGTTTTCCTTGCTTTCTATGCGGCCTTGGAGGCTGAGCTACACCCCCAAAGGCCCTGGAGCCAAAAACAGAATCACGGTCTCGACATCTGCAAGCGGCCGCAGAGAGAGATCGTTGTTCTCAAGCGCAGAAGCAGACTCACAAAAATACCGGTAGCAACAGTAGCATATGCCACACACCCCGGTCGTGACACGAATGAGAAGAGCATGAAGAGCATAGCTGTGTAATTGTTATCATGATCGTCAGCATCATGAGCATCATCGTAAACATGCTCCCCAGCTATGCCTGCCGACCCCAGCATCGGATGTCGCTAGGCTTGCAGCTTTGGCAAACCCTGAACCCTAAACCTTTCCACTTCTAAAGCCACAAAATGCCACTTCTAAAGCCACAGAACCCAAATCCTTAAGTAATCCCGAAGCAAGCCCCAATCCCTAAACCTCCAAACGTTGAGCCCACGGGCATCCGGCTCTTCCCGATGGAAGTGTTGACCCGGGAGTTGGCGGTCTCTGGGTCGTTCATAATTCTATACATACGTCTAAATCCGAGGCGATCGTGGGGTTCCCGAAGGGTTCATGTCGGCGAGCTAGGATGTTTATGGTAGTTTGGGATTGAGGCTTTCTGGGTTCAGACTTTACGGCTTAGTCTCGGGTTTTCTGGACCTCAAAATCCTGAACAGTCTGCAGGTGCTCAGTGACGGACCAGGCTGGCTGTATGTGGTAGCTTTTTTTCTTGGCTTTGAGGATCTAGACAGTTTTGGGGGATGTCTATGGGCTTCTGCTAAGGATGTAACCTGCAGTCATTGGATTGAAGTAATCCTCCAGAAGTCCGCATGTTTACCGGATGCTTTGTGCTTCTGTAACCCATGTTTTGGGTCTTCTGGGTTTTGCAGAGCTTGTGGAGCCACCACACATCACGCCGGCACCCGACCCTGAACTCTCAAGGTCTCTGAACCTACGTCCAAAAAAAGACCAGGAGGGATCTGAATCTGCGGCCCCGAGCCCCCACAAGCTTTTGGCGAGGCGCGGACGGACAGCGCTCCGTGTTGGTGGGTTACTTGTCCCAGCGCCCAAGTATGCACTTCTGGGACGTCGTGCAGGGCTAGAAGCGAAAAACGACGAGCGAATCACGCAACTCACACACTAGGACTGGGATTTGGGAGATTCGTGTTTGGGTGATTGAAGGCTTCTCCTCTTCGCCTCTCCGAGGAAAGAGCCGGGTGCGTTCGCGATCGAGCTCAAGGCACAGGGTTTGCTACGAGTGGTTTGGGCTTAAGGCGCTTAAGGCGCTTAAGGCTTGAGGTTGAGGGATTTGCGGTTGCAGAGAGTTGAGGGGCTTGGTTGTCGCAGATTTGGAAAGTCATGTCGCTTTCATGGTTCATACAGTTGGAGTCGGAGGCTTGTCTGTTGGGTCCAGGCTTCATTCAAGCCACGCAGTAAACGGCCAAGCAGTCGACAGACTGGGAGAACCTTGAGCTTCAAGGTCTCAAGCCCTCAACAGCGTTCTGGATGAATGAATCGAAGACAGCAAAGAAAAGCCCCGACATCTCGTGACACGCAAGTTCCAGCAGTGAGACCCAAGCCCTCCAGTTCAGCCTTTAGGGATCGATTCCAGGATTCAGGGTTTTCCACCACCCAAGCTCCAGCGTCTGAGTACAGGGCGATTTGGGGCTCAGGGTTTAAACCCGGACTGCCACGAACTATGCCCCAAGATGCCCGAATTGTCGAAAGAGCACGCTGCGATCCTGCGCAGATCGATCCCAGTGTCCTGACGCGCAAGAGACCTAGCCTGCTGAACTACTCCGTGCCTGGCTCGGAAGGGTTTATCGAGGCTTCGGGGCTCAAGATCTGCGGGTGTATCGGCTTCGATGGGTGGGACTTAGGGCAACAGATTCTCCCAAACCCATGAAACACGAGGGATTGAGATCACCAACGTTTTCGCAGGATTTCATTGCCAAAGTGTTCAGGCACAGGTCCTGCAGACGTTGAAATGGAGGACGTCAGGGCTCGGATTGCCAATTCCGACCCCCAACCGTCAACTTCCCTTAAGTCCCTACGAGCCCGACATCGACCTCAAACCTTCCACCTCGAAAGGCCCAACAAACCCGCTGACGAAGTGTAGCGCCGTAGGTGATGCAGCCTACTGTGAATGCCTTGTGCTTCACGCAAGTCTCTCAGCCCGATACGGCAGGGGCCCTCGACACCACTACAAAGTACCGCCAGCGCAGCCTTTTCATTCTTGTATTACGTGTGTCTTCAGGACATAGGATCTCGCTTAGAGTTTTCGGCTTGAGTGCTTGGGGTTTCATGCTGCAGCTTCGCGCTCGATTGAATCGTTTTCGGTTTCCGGCTGGTCTTGCGTGCCGAGCTTGGGCGCAGCGATTACGATTGTTCGGATCGGATCTATCATACACTTGACTTGCCTTCGCTTGGATCTGTCATCATGCCCGACACAAACCCAACCCTAAAGGCCCTAAAACCTCAACATCGGCTCAACATCCCTGTGGTAATCGGAACCATGCATGCCTTAATCTGAAAATCCACACTCCCAGAGCTTTCAAGTCCTACCCAGGCCGTAAGTTATGCAGAGTTTAGGGCTTCGGGCTAAGGGTTTAGGGTACCACACAAGATCCAAGCTTTATGGACGCACAGCCTCAAGGCCAGGACACTCAGAGCCAGGCAGGCTGCGCATGGAAGCCACCTGAACCATGAATTTGAGGGCTTAGGGTCTAAGGTTTCAGGGTTTAGGGCGGGGATCATGGCTGATAGGCTGCATGAAAGCTCTTGGTTCGCATCCCAGACCCCCGGGAAAACACTCCGTGCCAAAGTGCCCGCAGCCTGACAGAGAGCCATCAGACCCTCATCAAAACCGTGGGACACAGTAAGATCGTGTTTGCAGATCGGATAAGATCCCTATTTACATTTCTTTAGACCCCATAAGATCCTCTGTAGCAGTCGGCACGACGGGAAAATCCGTTGAATGTTCGCTGGGCAAGCCCAGGTCTTCGACATGTATGCCCGCGTCGAAGCCTCCCCAGGCGGCATTTGGCATTGTTTGTGTATGTTCGTGGGGCCCGTCTTTTTTCCTACCCCCTAAGGCTTTTTTACCACCCCCCCATCTTTAAAGCCACCCCCTAGAGCTTTTTTCCCCCGCTCTGTAAAAGCTTGTTCTTGACCTCCCCGGGCAGCTTTTTATCCACCTTATGCAAAGCCCTTATTCAACCCCCGACAGCCGGTTTTCGACCTCGAAAAGCTTTTTGTTGACCCTCTCCGTCTCCTGTTCAACCCCCGTCCTCTTCAATTTGACCCCTTCTGAATCGACCCCGAATGTCTTCCAGCAGAGGGCCTTTTTTCAGCAGTGATTCTTGTTCTACGTACCCCAGCGGGGGCACGTCTTTGAAATCCTCTATCAGCAGGTTGACTCGGTGCTGTGGGCGCAAACGAACACTGGGCCTTGGGCATCGTGGGCAAACATGCAAGCGCCCAGACCGGCCAGGCAAGTGAGGCCTTTCTTGATGGTGAAGCTCTTGCAGAGAAGTGAGATTCTGCCTCTTTACGCGTACACATGGCCGAAATCTGCTCTGAAGGAATGCATGCTCCGAAGTGGAGCGAGCACTGCAGATGCGTTCCAGGATGTGCAGACCGTAGCGAGCTTCAACGCGCGAGGAAACGACAGCCAGCACCTTCTGGCCGAGTGGCCAGCAGCAGCTATCGGGCAAAGAGGTTCCTACATATTACACTTCGAAGGGGTGCATTCGTTGATGGTTGTAGGAGCGACAGCGACCTGGTGCTGTGGTCTTTGGACGGTCCTGGGTCCAGTTGAGTTTGCAGAGTCCTTTGCCATGTTGCAGCACTTACAAGTGCACCGCGTCGTGAATGTAGGCTATGCCGCGCAATGGAGCATGCGCCAGGACTACTTAGGCGGAAGCAATCTGCGGCAGGGCACAGCTGAGGGACCGCTCGAGTCGCAAGTGCGGCGTGGTGCTGCAAAGCAGGCAGCGTCGGAGCTTGGAACTTGTCTACCAGTTAAGGACGACCGTGTTATGATAGTGCAGCCTTCGTGGCTTCAGCTAATCCTCGAGGGCAAGAAAACTATGGAATTGAGAGGCCGCCGCGCAAAGTGTGGTTGGGTCTGGCTTGCCCAGAAGAGCAGTATCATGGGTCGTGCGCGCATAGCCGCTTGCCAGAGGATCAGCCTGGCCACATTCTTGAAGTATCGTTCTGCCCCCCGCGTCCACCAACCTGGCCAACCCTACAAGAAAACGTTTGCGCTATGGCTGACAGATGTTGCGGCGCTTGCCAAGCCGGTCCGCTTCTTCAAGCCCTTCGGGGTCGTTGGTTGGGGGCGTGTGCGCTACCACCGCGACACAGAAAAGAAGCCGTGCAATCCAAGCATTGGAGGACTGTGCAACATCGGCAACACTTGTTTCATCAACTCCGTGCTCCAGGCGTTGTTTCACATGCCTTGCGTGAAAGATGTACTGGACAGCAGCCAAAGAACGTGTGGGTCAGAAGAGTGCGCTTGGTGCCTGCTGCGACGCACCTTGCAAGCCCGGGACCGTGGCTGCGCTGACCGGCATTGCATGGAGGCGTGGGTTCCGTGGCTCAGCCGATACCACTTGGATGCGGGCGGCAGACAGCGCGCTTCTTTTCGCCCATGCGCTGTCCAACACATTGTTGGAGCAGCAGGACCGGTGCACCTGTTACTGTCTTTCAGGGTCCTTTGGTTTTGCCAGAATGTGTTAAGCGACGTCAAACGCATGTCGAACAAACGAACCATGTGATTTCGCGTTCATGTTGGGCAAGTGTGTGCAGGAGCGGCCATGCTGCAACCGTACGGTCTTTGGTGTGAAGCTGCGACGTGAAGCCCAGCATTCCTGCCCTAATGCTCAATGCTCCGAGAGCAGCAAGCCCTCGTGTCGTGTCGACATGGAACCTGGTCAGTGCTCATGGTGGAAAGTGATGCCGCCAAAGAGTCCAAGCTGTCAGATCTATTGGTGCGGTATCTGGAACCACAGCAGTTGTCTCTGCGCTGTGAGTCGTGCAAGGCCGCAAGGACTGGAAATCTGCACGTTTCCATTGAGGGTTTGTCAGAAGCAGTTCTTTGTGGACTTACAAGAGCTGGTGCAATAACCGAAGATGGTGTGCAACTACGTCATCACAGCCCCATTGACTGCGAGGCAGAGCAGCAAGTTGGAGGCGAAGAATGTGGTCTCGTGGCACTCGTGGAGCATGTCAGTGGGGAGGCTGGTGAGTCGCGGTCAGGCCATTTCGTTACGTGGGCCAAAGAAGGGACTGGATGGAAATGCTGCGACGATGCAATCGTCAAGCTTCACCCGAAGCTACCGAGAACAGTTCCTTCGAACGTCGTCTTAGCGTTCTACTCCAAACGGCAAGCCGCTGCGCGCGAAGCCAGGGAGTTGAAAGCACCCTCTGCGGGCCAGACTCAGACTATCCGCGCATCTCAGGAACCATCCGCTCAAGTCGCAGAGTCAGTTGAAGCGTGCGCAAGCACGCCCAGAAGCAGGCAAGCTCGCGAAACTGCCGAAATGCCGCAGGGCTTGCTGCCTCAAGACAGCGACGGCCATCTTCAGTTTGAAGCTTCCGTCGCGGCATTGCTGGAAACATACGAGTCCGGTGAAGATTGCGCGCCGACGCTAGCGTCCTTGCCTTTGTATTCTTGCGAAGTTCTTGATCCTTCCTGGAGCGACTTGCGTGGTCGACTTGACAGATGCTTGCAAGAATATGTGCAAGGCAAGATCGTGGCGGCCGACGCTGTCTATCTGGCGACCCCCATCTGGAGGACAACTTTTTTCCTTATCGCAGTCCTGCTAGAGGCCTGGTCGCGAACGACAGGATTGCCGACCCTCTTTTACATCGATTCCTTCTTCGCGCTGTTGGCCAGCTTGTTGAACAAGCAAGTGAGTTATAATGTTGCAGGCTTCGATGTGCGAGCAAGATACTGGGCCGTCGGCACGGCGTCGCCGGGCTCCGGCAAAAGCCCGGCTCTGGATCCCATGAAGGAGGCGCTGTTGGAGGTTTTGCGGGAAGACCCCGACCTCGCGCCGGGCGGGCCCGGTGACGGTTTCCACGTGCAACCGGTGGGCACCCATGCTGCCGCTGTAGACAGACTTCGATTCACAGGAGGTTACCAATTTATCGGAGCAGGGGAAGGAGGCCCGGTTCTGTGCCCAGCATGGGCGTCCTCTTCGACATGGACTCAAGGAACGCACATTAACTGGCAAAGATATTTGGACGGAGCTACAGGTACGGTTGCAAAAGATTAGAAAGGTTGGTGTAGGTAGGTGGGAGCCTGGCGGGTCTTTACGGTCAGATTCTGTTCTAAAGATGAACATATGTATTCAGGTGGTCCAGTTCCCTGGGAAACAGCAGTGGAGCGACAGGCACGTCGACGCAGTGCAGCCGCGGAAGAGCACGATGTCAATGTCGTCGATGAAACAAACGTGTCCGTCGTCATTCTCCAGCAATGGTCCTTGCTGCCCACGTGGTGGGCAGCTTCAGAAGAAAAGTGCAGCATCGGCCTGGCTGGGCGCTTTGTTTTTTCCTTTGCTGCTGCCGGCGAGCCTGGGCCTCCGCAAACAGCACAGTTTGGACAGCAGGTTGCCCTGCCTATCCTGAAACGCATCTTCCGAATTGTGCTGCGAACCTTGGGGCCACACTCTCCACTGCCCACCGACAGCCCTCTGCTGAGCTGGGTCGCAGACGCCGAAGGATTGCAGGCCGTGTGCGAGTTTCCGGCTGCTGTGTTCTGATCTAACCAAAACTCTCGACATGGACGAGACCTTTGCGTCTTGTGTCAACAAGTCTGGCTACTGGCTGACGACTATTGCTTTTTGGACAAGCGTCCTGAGCCAGGTCTGGCCGTGCGCAGCAGGCGGCCGAGACGATGTCGTTCTACATGCACATGTGCAGCGTGACTCGTTGAAGCTTGCCGTGGAGTTCTATACTTCCAGGTTTTTGCAAGGTGCAGCAGTGCTTTCTTCAGATGTGCGCGGTCGCACCTGGGTCAGGAAGCGGCCGCCTTGCATCGCCAAAGCGAGCCAGCGGTGGAACCTCGCTGCATTGCTGCTTCTCAAGAGTTCGTGCGGCGTCAGCATAACAGCAGCCGTGGCCCAAAGAGCAGGCCCGATGTTCCGCGGCCTTGCAGCAAGCCCCGGAACGGCGACCCGCGCAGCAGCGGAAGCGGCTTATGTGGAAGCCCTGGAGTATCTGCGCGTGCGGGGGTTTGGGGTTGTGCAGCCAGCCCTCGACGGCAAGCTCCCTGTGTTCCTGAAGAGACACTATCAGTCTTTGCCGCAGTCTTCCAGAGAGCAGCTGGCCCAAGCGCACGTGCCAGGAACCGTGTTTGGTTTGCATATTGCAGAAGCAAGTTGCGCTCGCCCAGGCGCCGACGCAGCAGCATTCTCAGTCGGCTTGGCTGCGCCCGACGCAGCAGCCCCCGTGGGCAGCTTGGCTACGGTCGCGCTCTCGGAGGACAACACCGAAGTCATTGGAAAGACAACAAGCAGCTCCGACAGCAAGCCGCGAAATCGGCAAGCTTCTGCAGCAGGCAAACTCGCGGGCATTTCGGCTGCAAGCATTCCAGACAAGGCTGGTAAGGTAAGGATTGCCCCAGTTCGTCAACGCCTTGTGAAGCGGCGGAAGAAGCAACAGTGCGTGATGCTCGCGAACAAGACCGCGACGAAGACCTGGGCGCGACCTGGGAGGTAATCCACCAGGGCCCGGTGGACATGTGCATCCAGAGCTACACGAGCTTTCGAGAAGCAGTGGAGCAGGTACTAGGCTTGAGCAAAGACGCAGGCATCTATGAGTTCCACGGTCTGGGGCTGGAGCGTGGTGTACGCAGATTGAAAGGCGCGTGCCTGAAGCCTGCAAAGGATGCAGGCAGCGGGTGCGTGCAGAATTTGGCTTTGAGGCCGGGCGGCCGAGTCTGAAGGTTCGCACGAGGGGCAAGCATGGGGAACTTGCGAAGCCAACTGGTGGATCTCTGTGGACAGTGGCCGAGGAAGTGGCGATCCGCAGAAGCTGTAAAGATGCAGAAACCCTCACGAGTGTGAATGTTCGCCAGTGTCTGAAGCAGGCGGGGCTAAACCTTCGATGCGAACCACGGCAGCTTCACCAATGGGTGACAAGACAAAAAGTCAAGCTAGGAGTGCAGACGAAGCGAGGGCCAACGTCTGTTCGGGCAGGGGAACTACAAATTGCGGCGGCCTCTTTCCTGCTCAAAGATCTTGGAACGTGGGAAACGCTGCCTTTGCATAAGCTCTTCGTCTTGCAGGATCCAGCACCTACCTTCAATGAAGAGCGTGTCTGCGTCGCGTGGACTTGCCCAGGCATGCTGCGGCGGGCTCGTGCCGCGCAAGGAAAGGTGATCAAGCTGGCCATCGACGGAAAGCAAGGCATCCTCATCAACGACTATACCGTCGTGACCGTCAGTTTTCTGGTGTGCAGTGAGCAGGTCAGACCGACAAGACAAGGCGGTGCCAGGACAGGCAGTCGCCAGAACGCTCACACCCTGACCCAGGAGCCGTTAGCCCAGGCGCTCATGAACACGGAAAAGGAAGCCAACGTTTCGCAGTTCCTACGCACGCTGGAAAACGTGGCTAGCGAATGCTGCGGCCTTGACCTAAGCTACCAGGTCTGGCAAGTCCACAAATACTACGCCACAAGCATCGAGGCGTCCCGCATCAATGTATTCCCTTGTGCACGACCGTGCGATGACTACCCACATATGCGGAGAGCATCGCATATAGCGTGCTCGCGAGCCTGCTCTCGCCGAAGATTCCGTCGGAGCCTTAGAAGTTCTTAGAAGCCAAAGTCACGAGGTCGACCGAGCTACTTTAAAGACTATATAGGGTTGCGCTACGTCGCTACGTCGGATGTGCATGCTCTCCGAGTGTTTGACGGGGTCTAGCTGTTGTCACACCAAGGCAGAACAGTTCCGCAGCAGAGGACGAAAGCAATGCAAGGCAGGTCCGGCAACCCCTTCCCTTCTGTGTGCGTGCGAAGAGTCTAGAGTCTAGAGAAGTCAAATTGATGTCACACAGCGCAAAGACTGCGTGTCTTCTGCAGGCGGTCGAAGCCAGCCGAGACGAAGTCTTTGCAGCTGCTGGAGAGAGTGATTCAACTGAGTCGGTTCTTGCAGACTGTTGTTCTGTTTGATGCGGTGTGGCAACTAACTTTTTCGTGGTTGGAGACCGTCAGCAAGAAAGCCGCGACCTACTTGAAGCAGACGTACTTTCACAAAGTGCCAGTCTCGAGCCTTCGCAAGCAGATGCATGTAGGGCAGCCGGTGGGGAAGTCCGAGGATGCCAGTTGCTGGTTCGCCGGCTTCTGGGCAGGCGTAACTGGCACATACCCAGGAACTGGGTCCGGGACTCAGTCACTGGAGAGCTTTCACGCATACTGGCAGGCGCAGGTCCGGTCCAAGGTAAGGACAGCTCCACCGACATATTCCGAGCAATGGAAGATTTGTACGAGACCGACTGGTGCAAGAAGTTCATGTGGGAGGAGGCGCGAAGCTTCTTGACGTGGCCAGACCGTCCCGCGCTGGACCTCTTAAACAGCACCATGCTGCGTACTGCTGGACGGTCGCCTGCGGCAGACTTTTGGGACCAGCGGGCGAAGAAGCTGACGGGTCTGCATACTCATTTCAAGATCTGGCGCCGCACAGACAAGGCCAAGGGCCAGGACGGCATAACGACTTTCTGGGTCACGCGGTGCCAACGCCACCAGGACCAAATGCCTGCTGATGCAAGCGTCGACCAATCCACCGCCGAGACTTTTGCAGACCTGCTGACCCTGGAGGGCACAGAACTGCAGCGGCTGCTGACCAGGTGCGGTGTGGCAGAGGGAGACGCAAACAAGCAGCGGCTGAATGCGAATGCGCTCGACAAGCTCCTGGGCGTACACTGCGCGCCTGGCCGATTCCCTCTGGCCGCGTGTGCGACGTCGGCTGCAAACCCCACTGCCATCCACGCTCTGCACATGCATCGAGTTCATGCAGCACGCAGAGTGCGAACACATTGTCTTCGTGAAGGCGTTGGAAGGGGGTGCAGATGCAGAGAATCTGAATGAGGTTCCTATCCTGCGAAAAAGAGGACGTAAGCCCAAGCGGAAGGCAGACGCGGAGATGAAGTCTGCATCTACGGCAAAGCGTCGCAGGCAGCAGAAGTAAGCGCCGGTGCCATGAAAAAGTTGTTACCGCTGAGACAGCCTCGCCAACTCCCGCCCAAGCATACCCGAAATCACACACGAGCGTTGTGTTCGCAAGCGTGTAATCCTTTTCGAAGTCCAGCATGCGAGCGTCGGTTGTTCTTTTGAGCGCTCAAGCTTGCTTGTAAGCAGTATGCATGAATCCTCTCCAGACTCATCATGCGAGCGTTGAATTTGCGACTTGGCGGACGGGGTCCGCGGCCGTAGGATAAGCCTGCCTCTCCAAACCCATCATGCGAGCATCGTGTTGCACATGGGGAGGCCGTGCCCTCCCAACCCTTCCGGTTTCCTTTGTCGATCCTTACCCTCCTTTAAAAGAAAGTGCAAATGTCTTGTGCCCTGATCACTTTGCCTCAAATGTGTGCCCGACGGGCCGAGCCGGCCTGTACGTCTTCGAATGCCTACAAGCCACTCGGTTTTAAGGTTGGACATAGGGTTTCAGGAAGAGTTCCTGGCCATGATTCATTATCGAATTCAAAGGTCATGAGATACAAATTCAAGCATGGAGATTCATAACCTGCTTCGGCCAGTGTGCCGAACGACCCCACGAACAGGGCGAGGCAGCTCTTTACAAAGAGCGGAATGCCTCTGCCGTCCCACTGTACCCCACGTGCATCCACTTGCATGTCTGTTTCACGTATCACTTGCATGTATCCAGGTTCTACCAGAGTACTGATCGACAGCTGTGCGCCTGAGCTCTTTACAACGAGCGGAATGCCTTTGCCGTCCCACTGTACCGCACGTGCTTCCCATGCATACATGTCGCGGTCCATGGGCCTATAGATTAAAATTTTCGTAAACATTCAAGCTTGAATCTTGCCTTCCGAGGTGGCTCTGTGCGCTCGGAAGAGTCCGAGGATGTGTCGGGTGGAGCTCGGGGCGAAGGGGACAGATGTGAAGGTGAACCTGGAGCGGAGTTTGAAGATGATGAGGAGCTTGCTGGTGCGGATGATGCGGCGTCTGCTGGTATGGATTACGCAGAGCCTGGGGACGCACATGTACCGAGTGTTTCCTAGAAGGTCTTGGCCACATTGTAATGAGTGTGGGACACGTGCGTGTCGAACTTCTGCTACATGCGCATTAATTAGACATGTCCCTCCGAGCTTCAACTCAGGCTTGCCCTGCGCGGACACTTGCGCAACCACGACGTCTCAGCCCGTTGCTTGCGTGTGTACATACATGCGCAAGTCCCTTTCCCAAGAACCCGCGGTTAGAACAGTTGTGGCTTCCAAGTTGAGTTTCTTCATCGTCGGACCCCAGTGCGACGCCGGCGCGGCGACACAAAGATTGCATGTACCATGCATGCGTTGAAGTGTATATAGGTATGTGCAGGAATGAACGACTGTGTGCATTGCCACCAGCCCAGGACACTTGCAGATCAGCCCCAAGAGCCAAGCCACAGCTCGAAAGGAACTCTATTGAATGAAATGCAGAAAGTATAGGGCGACTCGGAAACAAGGTTTATCGACCAGGATCTGCAGGAGAGGAAGGATTTGCATCTTGTCTATGACTTCCAGGATCTGGGTGTGGAGCGTGGTGTGCGCAGATTGAAAGGTGCATAACGCAGAGATTGCACGTATCTTGCATGCGTTGCAGTGTATATAGGCATGTGCAGGAATGAGCTACTATGTGCATTGCTAGCAGCCCAGGACACTTGCCGATCAGCCCCAGGCGCCAAGCCAAAACTCGAAAGGAGCGCTACTGAATAAAGGGCAGAAAGTAGGGCTACTTGTGCCAACTGTGTGGAAGCAACGGCATGGATCCATCCGATGTGTAATGTAATCGATGGAGAGTTCCTTACCAAACCAAACATGTGAGCATCGTGTTTGCACGTGGCAAGTTGAAACACTGATGTGACACATCCACTTGCATGTCTGTTTCACGTATCACTTGCATGTACAGCTGTGCGCCTGTAGTAAACAACACTGCTGCGAGACTATGTTCCTAAACGTCTTGCGAGCCGGATACACGCCCAGATTACATTGCAGCGTTTGGGCGACCGCCAACCCCCCGACTTCAGCCGACTTCCCAAGCCAGCAGCCCAGGACACTTGCCGATCAGCCCCAGGCGCCAAGCCAAAACTCGAAAGGAACGCTACTGAATAAAGGGCAGAAAGTAGGGCTACTTGTGCCAACGGTGTGGAAGCAACGGCATGGATCCATCCGATGTGTAATGTAACCGATGGAGGATTCCTTACCAAACCAAACATGTGAGCATCGTGTTCGTACGTGGCCTGTTGAAACACTGATGTGACACATCCACTTGCATGTCTGTTTCACGTATCACTTGCATGTATCCAGGTTCTACCAGAGTACTGATCGACAGCTGTGCGCCTGTAGTAAACAACACCGCTGCGAGACTATGTTCCTAAACGTCTTACGAGCCGGATACACGCCCAGATTACATTTCAGCGTGGGGGCGACCGCCAACCCCCCGACTTCCCAAGCCGCGCAAGTTTGCCTCACAACATATGCGAAGCTTTCCTTGGCGAACCCATCACGCGAGCGTTGTGTCCGCAAGCCTGCAAGCTTGCTGATTGAGATGCAGTACCCTAAACCCAGACTGGCGAGGACTCGAGTATAAGGTACTGTGATACTCCATTGTCCATGGGCCAAGATCGGGCCTCGGATGGCCAGAAAGAAGTTTGTCGGGGGTACGGAGGTACAAGTGTTCCAAGGATGGAACAGAAGCTGTCAGGGGTGGACGAGGAGCCGCTGGGGTGGATTAGAAGCTGTCCGGGGTGGACTAGAAGCTGTCCGGGTGGAAAAGAAGTTGCCCGGGGCGGAAAAGAAGCTCTAGGGGGGTGGAATAAAAGCCAAGGGGTGCAAAAAAGCTTTCGGGGGCTGGAAAAAAGCTGCGTCCTATGTTCGTGCTCAAAGCAAAAAGCTGCCCCCCGGAGCTGCAACAGAAGCTTCAACGCCGAAAGTCTGAAGCATGCCCAGTGAAAAAAAAGAAGCATGCCCAGTGTTTGGCAGTTTCCTCACATCGCTTTCGCCCTCCGGGTCACGGTTAGGGGCTCAGCGTTTAAGGCTTAAGGCTTAAGGGTGACGGGCTTCTCAACCCTACAGCTCGGTCCTGAGTATCTTACGTGGCAACATACAATCTTTAAACCCCAAGCGGCACAAAGCGAGAGGTACTTCCATGGTTGGCGACGCCAGATATTTGGATTGCGAGGCAAAGTCACTTGGGGGGCTATGTTCGAACATTGCGGTTCGATTGTTGTTCGCGTGTTATGACTATCGGTGCTGTTGCTGATTAGTTGATATCAGGATTGTTCGCTTGAGCTTGGTGCCGCCGTGCTGAAGTTACTGGAGCTTTAGTTACTTTAGTTGTTGTTGAAGGCTGAGGTCTTCACCGAGACTGACACCTGCCCGTTCGTGCGATGTCGGGTTACGCATATTATATGAGTGTAGGATTTCTGAGGTTCGAGGTGGCAGATGCCACTGAGACGTCCCGAGCATGAAACGGCAATGGAGGCTTTCAATCTGATGTCATGATCGCAAAAATTCCGAACCTGGACCTGGAGCACCATTTGCGTTGGTTGCACTTTGGAAGAAACCAAGCGACGCTGTGAGTGTCGTGTGTTACATTGGTCAGTTGTTCGCCAGCAAGAGGAACCCCTGAAGCCCGAACGCCTGAAGGTCAATTAAACTAAACCATAGACCCTAAACCCTGAGCCTCCTAGTACAACGGCCGAAACGGGGCCAGAAAACCGTCGGCCCCCCACTGCCAGTCGCCGCGCGGCATTCAAGTGCGAATGGTGCCCCGGAAGGGAGAGCCGGGAACCCGGAAAAACGACAACAGCACACAAACAGATACAATATCTGACAGAAAGGGAGCAGCACATAGGTGCTGCAAGAACACAAGTGTGATTCTTGAAACAATGGTGGTTCGGCTGTCATTCAGTTAGAAACGTGCATCACAGATAGACACACACACACACACTACCTACATACATCCAACGAGATATGCGGGCTTGTGCATGCGTGTATACAAGCACATGGCTAGATGCATATTTGTACCTGTATGTCACTGTATGACTTACGTATGAGTTACGTATGTGGAGGATGCATCTTTGCATCTATGGGCTTTGTTTATCTGTCAGTGTCTTTTCGAAGCTTATGTCTATGTACCTCCGCAAGTACTGCAAGCATGCACGGATGTCACGCTCCACTGGAACGCAGTATGAGCATAGTGGTTGAAAACAGGACAGCTATATACAGGAAGGCTTGAGGCTAAGACTCCGAGAGGTTAAAAGGAACGGAAGCAGATATGTGTACGATGCAATCATAGGAATGCGTGTACATACCCTAC